TGATGCGAATGCTGCATTATGTTGCTTCTCAGTGGTTTCAGAGTATACAGAAACAAACAATCATTTGTAGACAGCTGTTTTAAAAAGAGCAGCAAACCCCTTCCTATTAAACTCCCAAGGCAGGCAGCAGCCAGACGATCGATTCAGTCAACAACAACATCAGCTCTCTCCTCTGGACTCAGGAGACAGAAGAACAGCAGAATTACAGAATAAAAATTAAGGTAAAGGAGAAAATTCACAACTAACCTACTGAACTGAGCTGAAATGTTACACTTTTACAAGACTGATTATACATCATCCTTTAAACTATGCACAACAAAACACGGCAGTCGATATTGGCCTTATATAGCATGAAATCACATTCCTAACGAAGATCCATACACAAGTCTGAGAGCATTGCCTAGAAAGGCACAGCCTGCAGTACATTTCACCTTATCGAGGGCTCTGCTTAGCCTGTTTTATAAACAGTTCTGCTGTTTAAAACTCGTTCTGTCACCAGGAGAGCTAAGTCTGTTCTACAGATGCTTGCAGGACACTGTAGTTTTTGGCAGATTGTGTAGCACTGCTGTAACAGAGCTCACGTAGCACCACATAAAAATCAGGCCAATGTGACTCACAATAAGTCCACAAAGTGTAATTTCTACCAGGAGAATCAGCATTTCAAAGTTGCTTTTTTTTTTCTCCCCTCCTTTTTTAAAAACAAACTTGTTTTTTAAACAGACTTACTTTGAAGATAGTCAGTGGCTGTCACATCTCCACTCATAAATCTCTTTTCCCTTTTACTCTAAGGCTACTTGTTCGCATTCTTTTAGAATAAACCTCTTTAACACTGAAGCAAATGCACTTTAAAAAAAAAATTAGTTACGACTGACCAGGAGAGCTCAGTACCTCAGTATCTCAGCTAGTGCCCAGAACAAACACTTAACTTCAGCATGGCAGTTCATGCAGAGACACTCAGGACAACTACACTTTCTTCCTCTCCAGAATACCTCCCATGTGCTCAGCTCCCAAGCCTGACCACTTAATCGAGCCACTCCATGAACAATCTCTTGCAGGGAGCTGGAACAAACGACGTTAGAAAAGTCTCCCTAAAAAGATCATTGCAACCATTCTTTAAACAGTTGGCCCCAGATTAGCAGTTCAAACATTCCAGCAGTGCAGGTGTGCGAGCACAGACGGCAATCCCTCACCCCGCTGCGGAGCCTCCGAGCCCCACAGCCCAGGCTGGCGGCACCCGCTGCCCCTCGCCCTCCCGAGACCAGAGGGGCGCGGTCCTGCAAGGCTGCCCCGAGCAGGGGCACAGCCCCGGGGCTGGGGCACGACCCCGGAGCTCGGGGACAACCCCGCGGCCCTCCCGCCGGGGCGACCCCGCCACCTCCGCCCCCTCACCCCGCGGCCGGGCCCCTCTGCCCGGGGCGAACCGGGCACCTCTGCCCGGGCACCTCCGCTCCCTCCCGGCCGGACTGACGCCCTCGGCCCCGCTCCCAGCCCCTCACTCACCGGCTCGCAGCGCCGAGCAGAGGCGGGGCAGGACCCGATAAGCAGCGGGCCCGGCAAGCGGGGCGGGGCTCGGGGCAGCAGCGCTGCTCGGCCGCGGGCAAAGGCCGCGCTCCGGCGGGAGGGCCGGACCGTGTCCCGTCCCGTCTCGTCCCGTCCGTGTGTTCGCAGCCCCACGGGGCCCCCTCCCCGAGCTGCTGAGCCGGGCTGTCCCCTCCGGCCAGGTACCGACCGCACCTACAGCTCCAAAGCCCGCGCTTCTCTGTAAGTTTTGAAACTCCAGACCTCAACCTGGACTCCTGCCGATTCCCGGGCTAAACCCAGCTGCTGGCGCCAGCCTAGAAGGCTCACCTAGACCCACGTGGCACAGGTCGCTCACGTCGGGCTGAGCTCAACCAAAATCGCAGCCACTACAGTAGCTGTGATGGAGTGACCACCAATACTTCCATATCCAGACTTTATCAGGTTACCTACGAGCAGCAACCCTGAACTTTAATCAAGCAGTCCCTTTTTATAGACAGGAAAATACCAAATTAAACTTTAATAAAATAGCATCGAAACACATACTAGATCAAGAATTAATAATAAATGAGCTCTGGTGACAGTGCATTCCCAGTGACAGGCAAAGGCTCACTTTTCAAAGCTGCTGAATACCCATATTTCATGGGTTTTACTGGACAAAAAATGTATTGAAAGAAGATCCAATCAGTATCTTTAAAAATATTGCATGGAGATTAGACATTTTTGTTCATACAAGTGAGTTTTCTAAAGAGAAAAAAAAACCCATGGTTTATAGTCACATCTTCTAAAACACCCAAACTGCCCACTTTTATATTTTTTTCAGTTTCTCGACTTCCCACCTGCCTTGATATAGCCAGAGTACAGCCTTTTTTCTGTATTTTTTGTTTGTTCTAAGAGGTCAATCTTCATCTCAGTCCATGAGAGAAGAAAAATGGTTGTATTTTTTTAAAAACATGTATGTTTAGGATTGTCCTTAAATATTGAAATATTTTCTTTATGCTCCCATGCATATTTCCCCACTGACTTCTTACACAGATGGCTGGCAATTTTAATTAAAAAAAAATTTACTTAAATGAATACCATAACTTAGAAACAGAACTCACAAACCAAACATGAAGAGAGTACTCACCTGTTGCACTCCTGCAGCTGTGGGGAGTGCTCCCTAAACCGTTCCCAAAACAGCAAAGTCCAGGCAGGACGAGGGCTGGGCACACACACTGGCTCCCCAGGGTGGCTGTGGGAGCAGTGGATAACACTCCCTGTTCTCCAGGCAAGCAGGCTGTCCTGGAATGCCCCATGTTCTATTTCCTTTCATAAACCCCATGACTTGACATCATGGAGATAAACGGATAGATAGGAGCAAAACCAAGAAAGAAATACTGATATATCAGGCCTGACCAACATCGGTGCTTTGAAGCCACACAACACTTCACGAGCAACTTGGACTGTGGACCCGAGTTAGACGCAGCCTCCCAGGTGTGTTGTTGTCAAGTTACTGCCTGAGAGAAAACAGTTACAATTCTCCAATTTTCCACACCAGCACTGCTGTGACTCTATTTAATAAGAGTTGTTCTTCCCATCAGTTTTAGTTTGATCACCTATGCAGAGAAGATCTGAGAAAACGAAATATGTCACATCATAAGAGTTCTTGGCTGCACTGGTATCACAAAGGATGGGTTGAAGACATACAGTGGTGGTGGGGGGTGCGACTGTCCAGTTTTGGTACCTGTTTTTCAACAAACTGAGTGAGAAGATTGAATTAAGTATAAATGTACTTCAAATTACTGGAAAGTGGTGATATTTGGGCCAAACCCAACTCTTGACTTCACCTTAAGCTTTGATTTGAAACTAAATGAAGAAATAAATAAACCAAACCATCTTTGCTACCTTTATATACTGCCTCACTGAGAAACTTAGTGTGTACTGTTTTGCCTGGCATGAATAGCCAGGCAAATATTAATATTTACTCTGCTATAATTTGTATTCTTACAGTTTTACATCACTAACTCCAAGTCCTGCACAGTTTATAGCAGGAATTTAGTTATATTCACCTAATGAATCCAACAAAGATCAAATAAGCAATCAGATTTAATGAGGTTTAAAAATACCTGACCCCTGCAAGGTGAGACATTAAAGCACAAAGCTCAGAATTAAAATAAAGAATGGCCAGCAGTGTTGCAAAGCAAGCAATTGTGGCAGAAAGTGTCTACTGAAGCATAATTCAGAATAAATCAGCTAGAGAATTCTCTCAGCTGCTGGAATTCCAAAAGAACAGCTACAGAAACAGCCTTTATGTTATTATTTATGCTATTATCATTTAGGTCACAGCACACAGAGTAAAACCACCTAAAATATTCTGTAGCCATTTTCAAAAGGAAACAAGTATTCATCTTACGAATATCCCTATTAGTGACAAAGCCAGATTTCACTGGATTAAAAATTGTCTCACTCAAAGCTGTTCAGTTATAGGTAGGGACACCCAAATGAAGCATCTGGGTTAACAACAGCAAAGATTTTAAAAGCATGGGAAACCAAGATTCCCCAGTGAGCCATGGTAACTCCTGAACTTGTAGAACATTACAAAATAAAAATTCAAATAGTTACTGCACAGTTAAGTGTCTTACTTCTGCTGCTATGACTTGATAGTTTAAAAACAAGTGAGTACATTGGTACATAGCACAAAAAAACCCAAACCTGTTTTAATGCTGTCATTTTAACTGTTTCTAAAAAAATGCAGCTAACTACACCCTCTCATGTGGCTAGGATAAAAAGTCAGTAAGAAATGTCTAATACTACTGGATTTATCTACTTGGTAAGTAATTTTTTATAAAAAGCAAGCAAGACTAAATGTATACAGCAACAGAATTGCTCATTGTAGCTGTGCATGTTAATGCAGGAACACAAGTTCAGATGCCAGTATTGTTAAACTCATCCACTGCAGCATTTACTTTTATGCATTAAGACGCAAGAGTATTTGGGAGAACAACATTCTACAGATAATGAATTGTAGTTTTGACTGAAATAAAATTTAAGAGCTCACTAATAAAAGTTATGTAAACTGAACAAATTTCTCCTCTCTATATTTTTATTCATGTCTTCCCCTCTCTTACAGAAAGATAATTTAGTAAAATTTGTTCCTTACTCGTAAAACCCCAGATTTTACTATACTTTTATAGAAAAAGTTAATCAATTACATTTTTATGTATGTGTATGTGATTCCTCAGGCAACCACTGTCAGCTTTTCTTCCTCTGACCACAAATTATTCCAAAGAAATGCTGAAGTGTGCAATTGCAAAAGCATCAATTTCTATGCTTAGAATTCTCTGGTTTCAGTAAAAGTAGCCATGAGTTTTGAAACAAAACAAGAAAAAACCCCACAGTTCTTCACAGAGAGAAAGACACAATAAACTGGATTCTAGATGAGGGAGCACAAATCAAGAAACACCAAAGGAATTCAATCCCAATTCGGATACTGAGGCATCTAGTTTTATGTTATACTTTAATGAGAACTGTTTAAATTCCCAGAATCTGATTTTCAAATTACATTACAAAATAAAATATTTAAACAACATTTACTTATGTACATTCTGCTCCAAAAAATGGACTGTGGAAATTCTTTACATTTCTCTTAGAAATACATACAAACCACAGCATGGGCCAGCAATCCACTGGCAAGTAACAGACACAAGTCAACTTAAGGGAAAAATACCTGTGGAAAAGTTTTAATCTATTACTGCTTCAGTAACAGCATTCCAGTGCCTCTTCAGACTTTAAGTAGGCTTTAAGTAGTTTGTTCTCCTTGCCCCAAAATATTATCCCAGTTTACCCTGTATATTGGATGGGTACTTGTTAGAAAAAGATGACAAATATTAAGAACAAGTAATTACAAGAAAATTACAATACAGAAGAGTCCAGGCAGGTGTACAGTGTAACAGTGTAAGTCATCTAAAACAGAAGAAAAAGTAAAATTGCCTGTGCCCCTCTGATACCTTCCCATACGTATTTTATGGAAAACTTTACATAGCTTACCTTTTATCTTACTTCAACACACATCACTTACATTAAAATAACACATATAAAATAGCTAGTTTGTTAGACTGTAGGAACAAATAATTTAAAGCTCTTTTACCAGTCTAGACAACATGTACATTCATTGGAATGGGAGTTCACACCAAGTGCTGCAAGATATGAATTACATTCAGAGAAACGGATACCAACCTCCATTCAAATTTATCATCAGTACGTGCTAATAATCATTAATTTAGGTAAGGACAGCGTAACAAAAAATCTCTTACATTGCCCCAAAGTGCAAATGATTCATTTGTTAAGGAAAAATCATTAAATGCAATAGTTTCCTACGGATAACTGAATTTCACATGAAGTGGAAATTGTTTAGTTCTGGTTATGTTTTCCTGTGCCAGTCATCAGATATCTCACAGAATTCTAAACACCAGAAGGACAGATGAAAAAAAAAATTGATAGATCTTTAAAATTATGATGCCTAAGTTCTCCTATATACATATATATAAAACAATTAACTTATGTTATAATAATATCAAACTGCATAGCATTACAAAAGAAGGCAACTTGAATGGCTGAAATGAAGAAATGTGAATGTTACCAACACTATTATTACTGTTCTGGAATTTATAATACCATAGGGTATTACCATAGGTTGCCAGTAACAGCTATAGCCCAGTTTAAGCAAAGTCTGCCTTAATTCCAGAGAATGCAGAAATCATTAATTCAGGCAAGTTGTTGCATGCTCTTTCATGTCCTCTTTGCAGGTTTTGCTGTTAACTGTTTCTCTCTTTCAAGTTCCTTCTCACGTTGCTGCTCTCGTTCTAATTCCTCCTTCTGTCTCTTTTGTTGCAGCTTAAGTGCTCTTTTCTGAACAGAGAGGACAAGAAAATAATTGCAAGTTTAACAGATATATTTAAGTCGGAGCTACCAACAGAATCCCTCCCCTTCTCCAATCCACCCTCTTTATGACTGAATGTTGCATGAACTGTTCATTTTTGCTTCGTTCCTCCCACCTGCAGCCTACTGTTCAGAAATGGCAAATCTGATCTGCACTGGGAAAATACAAACTGGATTCCCTTCAGTCTCAGTAAAAGTCACCCTTTGAGTACACCAGACAAGCTGATTACCATGCAATTTATTGCCAAGAGAAAATTCTCTTGGAGGAAAATCCTCCTCCTTCGACACACTGAAGGACTAATCTTGCCAGAATGTAACCTGACTGTATAGCACAGAGTTGTGAACTTAAACTACTGTTAATGGTACATTAAATAGAAGGAGAAATTTTAACCTTTATGACAATCTAGTTGAAACTAGAAACAACAGAGAACTGGTTGGAATGGAGTGGATTAAGTGACAGAACAAAGCATGATTCTTATACCAACTAAACATGATGACAACACTGAGAATTTACTAGTAGTTCAGATGTATAAGTTGCTTAAGCACCATCACAAGTAAGTGAAAGTTTAAAAACACACATGGCTTGGTGCTACTGAAAACATCCTTTCAGGTACAATTCTATTTTAATCGGCATGCATCCAAAAGAAAAGTTGGAAGTCAGTAATACATAAGAAAATACCTATATTGGAAAGTAAAAATATTTATCCCACTCACTTTTAACTTCGATGTCTTCTCATGGATCATCATCATTTCATTTCTAATATTCACTAACTTGTTGTGATAGTGTTTAGCTTCTGAAAACTTAAAAACCACAACTGTTAAAGCAGTGCCTGTCAAGTTGGAACAGTTGTTTTATAAAGCTACACAGCAAAATGGCAATCAAAAGCACAGTGATTACCAGAACAGTTTGCTAATGCATCAAACATATAAATTAACACATTACATGTATCAATATATACCATACCTCAACAGGGATACCCAGTAACCTACCAAATTAAAATTCATTATACAGAATAAAAACATTACCACTTCATGCACCATACATGAGTGTTTCATGCACCCTTCCTGCTAGTTCTGGGAGGTGCACAGAGCTCAGTCCTACTGGAAAAAGGTTTGTACTGGCTTTGAACAACTAGTCTTACTACTGCAGGCTGACTGAGCCTGCCCTCTCTTCCCAGTACCTTTCTTATTTAAGGGAAATATGCTGGTTCCCACTCTCTCCAGCAACAATTTGTCCCAAATTTCTAAACTTGTTGGTTTTCTTCCCAGAGGCCATTAAGAACAGGGAAAATACACAGGTTGCTACTAATGCTTCAGCAAGAAAAATCTACACTAATAGGGATTTAAAAAGGCATTTATTGGTACTTACCAAAGCATTGATTTCAGTAATGGAGTTACACTCTTTGAATTTTGAAATTTCTTGTTCTAATGTTTCTAGTAATACCACCTGGTTCTGTCTAAAACAAAAGAAGATGCCTAAACCCAGTAAAGTAAAACCAGTAAAACCCAGTAAAAGTAAAGCAGTACACATGCTTTTCAACCAGCCCTTTAAATAAATAGGACTTTTGATCATAACTGTATAAATACACACTTCTCAACATCAAATTCTTCTTATGCATTGCTAGGTCATTTCCATTAAGACACAAGTAAATGGTTTTAGAAAAATCCCTGCTGAGTACATGAATTCATCTGGCGGCATACAGCATGGATGAATACCCCAAACCCCTGAAGAGGCACTCTCCAGGCTGCAGTGGTTGAATGAAAGGACAAACAATTAGCTCTCGTCTTTCCACTTGGGTGCCTCTGCATTATACTGCAGGACCAAGTAATTTCTGTATAGAACTTGTGTGGATCCTTGGTGCTTGTTAAGGATCCTCCATCCCACACAAATCAGCTCAAGTCTCTCCAGACACAGGCTGTCCTGGCAGCAGCATAACCACACCATGTGTAGTGAAACCCCAACCAATGCACCCTGTAGAACCTGAGATGGATCTGTGTAAAGTCCTTTCCTGTATCTCTGTACCCGCAGCAGACCCAATCTGCATTTGAAATCAACCACTCTCAGTTATCACTGAGATATCAATGTACAAAGAATTCTCATCTATTTAGCTCCTCACTTATATTTTTCAAGTGTATCTTTTGCAACGGAGATTAGAGACTGGACAACAAACAATTCACTGCACTACAAGCTGCTCTAAATACAAACTGCATCTCTGCAAGCAAAATAAATCCAGCTTTCAGGAGACTTTCCACTACAGAAGTGAACAAGTGTTTAAGAAATCTCCATGTCTTCTGCTATACCAGCTCAGGGATTTCAGTGTTCTAGTGTTACACATCCTTCAGTCAAAGTGCTCACAGGCTACACGGCAGCTTATACACCACCAGTACTCCTGCAGATCACTTAAGTGTTCGTGCTGCTCCAGTCAGGGCCCAGAAATGCTGTGATGAACTCTACTGCAGTTAAGGGGAGCTGGCACATTAAACTGAAAAAAGTAGCAAACAAAGTGTGCACGTCTATGGTTTTAAAAATCTGCTTACGTAAGTTCCTGCAGGGCTGATTTTGAGCGCTGAAGATCAGGCAGATAATGGGAAATCAATCCTTCAGTCAGCTGCTCCACAGCTTTCTCATCTATTAAAGGCAGATCTTCTACTACTCCTTCATCTGGAGATGCATCACTGGGGCCTAAAGCAAAGAACAAGAAGGTTGAATGTGACACCTACTGCAACTATACTTTCTTGTTTAAAAATCAAAAGCATTTCAACGGTGAAGTTACAATTTTCTGCACTTTATCAACTAAATTGTGCTTCTTTTTTCCTCCCCTTCTTTATCCCTTCCTAATTCCCAGTCCTATATCATGAGCTTCCTGGTGAACCCTTTTGTCTGCAAACCAGTGGAATAGAAAGAGGGGAAATAAGAGTATTCCAAAGACATCTTACAAAAAAACCCCAACAAACAAATGCTGCAAGCTACTGAGGGAAAAAAAAGGGGCAACAGCAGTTGTTCTGGCTATGCATCAAGAATAACTAAACATTAAGACACCCCCTTTGCTTTTAAAGTCAGAGAACAAGCCAGGCCTTTGAAAGGTCTTCGCCTGTCACTCAAAGCACACGAAAAGTTCCTTGAAACACCACGTGCTGAACTCCAGGAGTTTGCAGGAGCCGGTTAAGAGCTACTGTCGGTTCCGTATCACCGCGCTGTTATTATTTATTTAGTGCAGAGCTCTTGGAAGACAAAACCCTTCAGCCCGCAGGCCCCACGGCCTGGGGGACAACGACGGCAGCAGCGCACCCTTCGCCCCGAGCGAGCGCGGCCGCGGGACCGAGGGCGGCCCCAGCCCCTTCTCGGCCCCCCCGCACCCGCCCGGCCCGGCCCGGCCGCCCCTCGCGTACCCAGCGAGCGCCCGGGCCCGCCCGCGGCCGCCTCCTCCGGCCGCTCCGCGCCGCTCATCGCCGCCGCTCCGGCCGCCCCTGGGCAGGGCAGGGCAGGGCAGGGCAGGGCAGGGCAGGGCCGAGCCCGCGGCGGAGGGAGGCCGGGTCCGGTGCCCTCACCGAGCGGGGCGGACCGGCACCCCCCGCCCCGCGTCCCGCCGCACCATAGAGAGGAGCCCCGTGCACCGGGGACGGACCGCGCCGGGCGCGGAAATGATGTGTGGGTGACGAGGATGACGTGCGGTGACGAGCATGGCGTGTGCGGGGTGACAGTGACAGGGCTGGCGGAGCACCAGGGCTCAGCTCAGCCAGCTCTGCTGCCGCTGGGGAAAGCGGCTGAAATCAGTGCAGGGGCCCTTTCTTAGGGACACCCGTGCTCCTCCTGTGTTTGATAAATCTGTACGTTATTCTCCACAAACCGTGCGGACTATTCACTACTTGTAGCTTTTGTTTCTTAGAACATACATAACCCGATTCTGTGTATGTATCTGTCTCTGCATCTCCCCCAACAGTCATAAGAGCAATAATAACTTGCAGGTATATATATATATATATACCTGGTATATATATATATATATTTATATATATATATAATGAAATATATTTTATATATATCATATATATATCTAATGACAAAAACAATTTTATAAGGTATTGGTAGGATTTTTTTTTCTCTTTTGCATTTAAATGTCCTTTCAGGAAATGCAGGTGCAACTATAGAAATAAATTAATGAAGGAACCGCTCAGAAGGTTTTTGGAATGCGGTGTTTTCATAAATCCAAAAACCTTCAAGATTAAATTAAATTCAGGCAGTCCCCTTAATGCTCTTCAGAAACAGACAGAGGCAAAAAAATGGACTTTTGAGGTGATCTGTCAGCCTTAAAACTGACATTTTTAACAGCTGAAACTGTCATTTTCTTCATATGCATATTTGAATTAACTATCACAATTATTTCAGTATTCTGTCATCAGATTAAAAAACTTACCCATTTTTCTTTCTTTTTCTGCTTTTACTCTAAAAAAAAGCAACAACAGGAACCTGTCAATTAACTTAAATTCTGAATTACAACTAGGTAGCAATTTTACTTCAAGTTTCTTTTGGTGGGGGAAAAAAACTTTTATTGAAAGTTTTACTGGGAAAGACTTCTAAGCTTCCAGATGGAATTTCTAGTAAGAACAAGTGAGATAATGACTCTGAAATAGTCTCACTTGATATGTGGGAGTTTCAGATTTGTGCTCCTGCTTTGCCTGTTCCAGGCCTTCCCACGTCTTGCAGAAATAGACTAAGGATTGGAATAGAAAACTGGTATCTGGTTTTCTAGACAAATTAAAATTTAACTCTTGATCAACCTGAATGCTCCAAAAAAAGAGACTGACAGAAAGCCCTTCTTGTTTCTTTTTCTCTGCAAAAATGTTCTCTGTTTAGCTGTAACTATTTTCCAAGTGCCGTGTATTTAGCACTGTAATGCCAAATAATTGTGTTTCCTTTTAATTCATGTTGTAGCAAGTGTGTTCAGAAACCTTTAATGCAATACTGTCATGTAAACATTTTGGATTTTATTGTAACTGATTTAAGCAGGTACCTATATCATAACCCTGTCCCACCCTGGAAATCTGAGTGAAAATGGAGTAAGTTAGCTTGAATTGTATAGAAAATAGGAAGTGCTGCATGACTTCAGGGATGGCAATATGAAAAGGAAATATTAAATAGGTAACCTCTTAAAGACTCTCTGTCCTTATTGAGTAAACGAGACTACTGAGAAAGTACAGCCTTGTCTGTCACAAGAAAGAAAGGGAGGGTAGCTGGCTGTTACAAAAGGTTTTGTTCCACAGAGGTTCATCTTACCAATGATCGACCTCGTTATTGACTTGGCAAAGAAAAAAATATGGTTCTAAGTTATTCAGTAAAAGGCAAGCTGGCGAACCTTGGGGTACTGGCTTAGGGTTTAGAGTGTTAAGTCCCCTCAGCTTAACACCCTTCCTCAGTGCTGGAAGTTTCTGTTCCTGTAGAGGTGGCAAAGCCCCAGTGCAAAGCCCAATATTTTAGGAGTCCTAAGAGCAGTTGTTTTGGTGGCTCTTGGAACCTGGCTGCTCATGCCTGTGTGACCTCGCTCACCTGTGCTGGTACAAGTGGTGAAACTCTTGAAACACAGAGTGAGTTAAATCACCCAGAGAGAACAGAAACTTTAAAAATGCATGAACTGGAACACAGCTGGGAGCACTTTCCTAGGCTGGCTTAACAGGTTCCCAGCCTTGGCTGCTCGTGCTGCTTCCCACACTGTTGGCTGCCCCCTCAGTTGTCACATGGATGTCTAAGCAAGTTGCAGTCACGGAAGCAGTCTCAGTTACACATACAAATACATCTGGAACCCTTTCAATATGTATTTTTTAATTCTGGTAGATCTCAGGGACCCAGCTCATTGCCTGGCCCATAAAAATTGTGCTAGTAGCACTCCTGGGGGAATTACAAGGTGGGTGATGGCACCTCTTTAGCCACCTGAGAAAGAATAACTTGAGGCTACGCTCAGGAAAACAGCAACATTGTAAAGTGGCAAAGGAGCTCGGACAAAGTGTTATACTGTTTATTTTTGGACATCAATACAGAGTACAAGAAGAACAACAATAAGCAACCTCCACCCAAGGCCAGTTTACCACACAGGACTCCCCTCCTGCAGGGCCTGTTCCAGGAAGGGGTCACTCCACGTCCTGCAGTGGTACCCCAACATCTGCCAGAATCTGCTATCAGCCCTTGACCAGAAAGGGAGTGCCTTTCTCCAAAATCTTCCACTTCTCTACAGGTCTCCAGTCTTCACTTAGTAACTTTCTTGAACCAAGTAAAAACCCAGGATATGTGCTTTCTCTGAGACAGAAGTGGTTTTGCAGAAATGTTTGTGACTTAGGGAACTGACTGAATGCAGGAACAAAATTTGGCCATGTGTACAAACCGGTGCTGAATATGAGGAGAAGAAAATTCTAGTACTCAGACCAGTGAGAAGGGGGAATAAACCTAAATAACCAGAAAAACTAATAAACGCAAAAATCTAATTACTCTTAAGTTAGAACAGAGTTAAGAAAGGGATTACGGAACAGCAGGCTCTCTGAGGTTTGCTTCTCCCTCCATCCTTAAGGACATTTTTAAAGGAATAAATGTAAGGAATGTCCAGAAAGGTATGTGTTACTAAATGGAGCTACTGAAACAGTGTGAAGAGTGGCACCTTTGACAAAATGCAAACTCCTGCCTTTTAAAATCTCAAGCCAGAGCACGACCATGCAGTCGGGGCTTCCAGTGTAATTGAAAAGAGCCTCTTGTCTGTCACAGATCACACCTGGATTGCAGGGCTGTGGCAGGTGTCAGCCTGTACCTCGCACGGCATTTACCACTGGGCACACAGGCGGGCAGGGACGGGAGCAGCCCCGCCAGGCACCGCGAGGGACGGGCGGGCCCCGCCGCGACCCGATCCCCGCGCTCAGCGGGATTCGAACCCGCGGCCACCGCGCCGGGGGTGGCGCAGGCGCGGTGCCGGCGGGGTCCGCGGGCGCGCAGGGGACGCGGGTCCCGCGGGGCGGCCCCGGGATCGGTGCGGGGTCGCGGAGCGGGGTCGCGGTGCCCGCCCGCGGGGGGATGTGACGCGCACGGCGGCGGCGCTCCCCCTGCGCCGGCGGGGAGGAGGCGGCCCTGCGCCCGGCGCCGCCTGCCCGGCCGCGCCGTGAGCGGGGCTGGGCGCTGCGCGGCCCGGCGGTGACAGCGCCCGCCGTGCCCGGCGCGGGGGCGGCGGTGCGGGCCGGGGGTGCCGGTGTGCGCCGGGGGTACCGGAGCCCCGCGCCGTTCCGGGCGGCCTGCGCAGGGCCCCGCGGGGCGATGTAGGGGACATGCCCTGACGGGACGAGGAGCGGTCGGCGCCGCCTGCCAGGGCACAGCTGCGCCAGCGGAGCCGCCCGCGGCGGGTCGGCCGCGCACGGCGAGGCACCCCCCGGGCACCGCCGCGATGGCCGGGGCCGGGCTGTGGGCGAGCATCAAGTCCCTGCTGCGGAGGGGCGAGGACCCGCTGTTCCTGAACGACTCCAGTGCCTTTGACTTCTCGGACGAGGTGGGGGACGAGGACTTCCCCAGGTTTAACAAGCTGCGCGTGGTGGTGGCGGACGACGGCTCGGAGGCGGCCCCGGACACGCCGGTGAACGGGGCAGCGCCGGGGCTGCCGTCCGACGACGAGTCCCTGCTGGAGCGGGACATCGCCCTGCGCAGCGCCCGGGCCGGCCGGCCGGACCCCTGCAGCGGCTGCAGCAGCCGGCGGGAGCGCTCCAAGCAGAGGAAGGTGAAGAAGCGGCTGGCGCTCGCTGCCATCCTCTACCTCCTCTTCATGACCGGGGAGCTCATAGGTGAGTCGGGGGCCCTTTGTGCCATCCTTTGGGCGCGGTGCCTCACAGCCTGTTAACGCTGCTCCGGCCTTGGCAGTAAATACTTCTTGAAGTATTTACTGAGAGAAACCATCAGTCCTTTAGAGAAATCAGAGAACTTAGCAGCGCGTTCGGAGAGTGAGAGGGAATGAAGTCCATCCTGTATTTTCATTGAAAATATTTGCAACTTCCTTTGCCCGAATGTGTCATCAAATATGTTAAATATGCATAAAATATGCATTCTTTTGTACGTCTAACGGCTTTTTATTTCTCCTTGTAAGTTTCTCCTGTAAGTTTGTAAGGTGATTTTAACAAAGAAGCAGCAGCATGAACAATCTCGTTCTCAGTATTGTTTAGTTACTTCCATAAAATCTCGCTGTGTTTGCAATATGGGGAGAGGGAAATACACCAGATTCAGCAATACACAGTTACTTAGAACTGAAAAGACGTGCCCTGAGCTATCAATAGCAATGCAGTGAAGAAGCCGCTCTCTGGACAACCTCTTGATGTCCTCCTGTGCTCTGGACTAGCATGTGCTCCATCCAGACATAAATCATACACAGTCAATTGAAGAAATAGGTATTTTAATACTTCCCATTACAACATATAAGAGGTACCAAGTAGTTGGAATAAATTATTTGTGGTTTTTGTTTGTTAGTACTTGCAGAAGTAAGGTGCGTTTTTATCTGAAAATGAGTTCCTGTATAAGGACCTGATTGTTGTTGGTCAGAAGAATGAGCTTTGTGCTCAAGTTCAGCTTTTATTGCTCCCTCCTAAGGGCTCATAACCAGGTGCTGTGCAGGTGGAGGAGAACCTGCGAATTATACAGCAGTCTGTACACAACAACTGCTTTATCCAACAGGCTTGTTGCAGGCTTGCAGCATAGGCTTGGAATAAAATTAAATCTGAAAGCCCCTGAGCATGCATAGATTAGGTCTTAAATGTTATCCCTTTGCCACTATCTAATCATTTTTACGAAGTTTAATATTTATCTTTTAATCTCTGATCACTTACCAATATGCATGTCTTGTTACTATCCATCTTTTGGGTACGTGCATGCCATTCAATGCACGTGTCTGCTCGGTGGGGCTCAGCCTCCTGAAGAAGGACTCCTGATTTGGAGTCATGGGGAGCATTACACAGTGCCAGTACATTGATGTGTGTGTCGAGCCAAGTCTCTCTGTAGCAATTAATTGCTTTTAAATTGCTTTAATTTCAACACTCAAGTCTAAATCAGAGCTAATCAGATGAATTATTTGCCATAATTCACAAAAAGAAAAAAAAAAAAGAAATCTAATCATAAAAACTTTCTGGAAGTGAAGAACAGAGATGCCTCAGGTGTAGCAACATGGGACCTACATCCTCCTCCTCCACACCTATGCAGATTTGGTCAGTTGTTTGCTCATGTGAAGTGAGCTCTTGCTCTTGGCTGCTTGTCCTAGGACAACTCTGAATTGTGTTTTTAAGACAAACTTGTATGAGATGGATAGGAATCAAAATCATTGCTGGAGGATAAATAATGCCATTTTTCCTACAGATGTAGGAAAAAAAAATCCTTAGGAGAAGTGTTCTGTTTTTCAGAGAGACACCAGAATACTGCCTGTGTCTGCACCATTTTATTTGGGGCCTTATTTCAGGAATGTGGGTTAATGGAAAAAAAGTGGGTTTTGTCCTTCAGCATATCTCAGTGTGGTTAGTCATTAATGACACTGCCACAATACACCAGCTTATCATGGATAAGGCACCTCGTGCCAACCCTGGTGCGGGTTTTTGGCCGAATGCCTCCTCTTGCCCCCTGGCTCCATGTTTTTCCTCTGGCTGAGGATTTGGTTCAGCATGAGCTCAGGTTAATTTGATAAGTAACAGTGTTGTACCTTAGATGTAGACACCCTTTAACATGGGATGATGTTATTTGGTTGTATTTATACCAATACCAGAGTTTTGGTGTACACTGAACTTAGTTCCTCTGAAGGGCCTCTTACTGAATAATATGTCTGTGCTGTTGTCAGGTTGATGCTGAAGTCACTAAGAGTGTGTGTTTGGGGCTTTGGATCTGATTCACTCTGTTGTAGACTCCTCCATAGCTAGTGCAGGGAGAGCTCTAGAAAAAATAGATGTTAAGAGTAATAATACTCTCTCATTACTGTCACACCTCCCTTACAGTCAGGGTGGCAGATTTGTCTGTACAAAGCATTAGTGCTGTAGTGAAGCCTCATCCTCCTCAGGTGCTTTTGCCACCCCTATTTTGTTCTTTGGGCACAGAATCAGAGAGCACTGAGGCCAGACCCATAAAATATTCAGGCATCCATCTTCCACAGAGAATAAAGGGAGGGCTTGGGTGTCTCTGTACTTATGTGGATCTCGACCTGAATGACTTGTCGATAGGGCAGGTAATCAGCAACAGAAGAGTAACTAAAGACAGAGCCCTCGAGTCCTGGGTCAATGCCCTAATTCTTTTATTTCTTTCACCCCAGCCCTGTAGTGTGTTCTGTCTGATTGGTTTCAAATTTTGGAATTTTATGAATTGATCTGAAGCTCAGGTATTTGGGAAACTCTGATCATATAGGATGTTTTAACTGACCTCTTTCTACGATCTTTGACAGATTTGAGTTTCTGAGAAAAAGAAGACCCTCTCAGACAATTAATTCGTTCAGTAAAAATCCTTCTGCTGTCTGTTACCAATGTCAAGATGAAGGAAATCTTATTTCAGCAGCTTTTTTTGTGAAATCATGATTGGCATATTTTTTTCAAAGGGTAGCCAAGCTCATTACCCCAGCCCATCTCAGTGTTTGTTGTTTAATTTGATGAACAGTCAGGTAACAACTTACACTTTGTGGAAACCATTTTGAATCAAGAAAAGAAAAACATACCACAAAACCTAGTTAGCTTTTCTGACAGGGTTTTGATATGTTTAGGGATTTCTAATTGATTGTCCATGAGAAGAACTGCTGTCCTTCACAGGTCACTGAAAACAGTGGTGAACTATCAAGCTGTCTATTTCTAAAGGTTATACATGTCTTTTTTCTAAGTTGCCAATATTGTTTAAATAGCCTCTAGGCAGTACCTTTAACCAAGCAATGAACTTTTGAGAACAGAGAACCTTTGATTTCAGAATTCAATAAATGTCAATTTTGTTTTCTTAATCCACATGCCACATTATGATCAGCTTCAGTACCTGAATTCCTTCTTTATCATTTTATTTTGAAAGGCTTTAAAAGTGAGAGGCTGTCTGAAATAGAATTGATTCACCTTGGACTGAAGTGATTCTCAGAGTTAATACTTACGAATTAACATACATATTGTAAATAATGATACATGTAAACTGCTGAACTGAATGTCCTTAGAAGTAAATTATTGTTTCTTTTCTGTTGACTGTAAAAGAGGCTGAGTTGCACTTTTCTAAGTCTTTTCTTAAAATTATGTGAGAACACAAAGTAATTTGGAAAGGAAAGGCGTAACACATTTTACTCAAAAAGCCGCTGAATTGCTAAATCTTAAAACCTCATTGTTTGTGAGCTGTGATGGCCTTTTGGAGACATTCGGAAGAAGATTTTGTCTTAGGATGGAGGATGGAAGTGGTTGAAATGTGGTGTATTTGTAGTTACCCACAGTAGAACAACACTGCAGCAGCAGCTGCGCTGTGTGTGTTTGGCTGGGGAGGAGAGAGTAGCTCTGTCTGCAGGTGTGCACATGCAGACACCCACAGCACACACACACAGGCTTTATGACTGGTCTTAACAGCAAAGTTGTGAATTCCTCTTTGCCATTTCCTCGGGGTCAGCCTCTTCACTGAGACAATTTTAATTGTACATGAAGATTGCCTTATTTGAAATGTTAGTTGGAGCCTCGAGCCTGCCAAATGGCACACAAATGGCACACCAGCTGCATGCTTCGCTCAGTACCAATTTACAGGCTGAATGACACTCTCAAGGTAAAAAGAGAAACCAAATCATAGCTGAGCTGACACTAAAGATGTGATCTTTTCTGAGAAAATGGGCTTACCTTCAAGCATATGGAAGACAACACAGGCCGTCCTTGATTCCCCTTTGGATAAGGGATACTTAAGAGAGAGGTGCATCGGTCAAATCTCTCACCATCCAACAGTAGCACTAGCAATTGAATTGGAACGAAGATATTAACCTTTGATCTCGGGTTATTTGTCTCAATGCAGCTCATAATTACAAGAAAAAAATTATGGTAATAAATAAGAAAGAAGAGTGCTGTGCAATTGAAAGTCATTGCCTGCAATAGATATTGGCAGAACTCACACAATCCTGCCAGGACAGGGAATAATGAAGGCTAAAAGGTATCGTAACAAAAATAGAAAGGGGGCAGGGTAAATTTCCTTTTTATTGAGTCTTTGGACTTCTGTCCCTGTTCTGAAATGTCACAATGTTTAACAGAGGTAGTTTAATAAAAAGATCAGTTGATTAAACACACGTGCAGTGATATATAGAGGAAAGATACAGAACCTATT